GGGTGCCAAAAAATTTTACTGGTCAACATAGGCGTTTATCTCTGTACATTCTTTTGTGCTTGATATATATTTTGATAACATATATCCCGTACTACTCCAACAATCGATTTGATATAACAAATGATAATATTAATCGATATTTTCTGGCATACTGCAAAAATATTCCGGCCTTCTTCAATAAAGGCTTTCGAAATCGAATCGTTCCTTTAGGTTAATCCCCATTTTTTGAGTTTTTATTTCAAATATTTATTTCTAGCAATTTCTGGTACATTCGGACCATTATTTTCTATATTAAGGGTGATTTTCCAGCTGTTAGGTGTACTGTACAAGTTGTTGCCAATTTTGATAGATTTTACAGATTTTTTTGGTAAATGATTTCATAGGTACTTAGTTTACTTAATTTAACAAATTTAAGGAGTTTTTTTTTAATATTTTCAAAAAGTTCAGTAAAGTAAAAAATCACACAATGTTTTAATTATGTGGCCACTTAAAAGTCGATGTGTTTTAATAAAAATCGTTATTTATTAATAAAAAAGTTTAAAAGATACATCCAACGAATCAAGGGCTGACCAAAAAATGTTTACCACTGAAAATGTTTTGATTAATTTTTAATTTATTTTTTCGTAAAAAGGGAAATGAATTAATTTAAATATTTGTTTATTAAAAATGTAAAAAAAATCAATTAAATTTCAAAAGGGTGAACAGTCCATTCCAGACAAGTTAACTCTTTGTGGCTCAAGGTTGTCCACAGGCAAAAGAAAAGAAACATCTACTAAATTCAAATTTTGTAAAAAAGAACATGAAGACTAGTTTTTTCGTCGATATTCCATTTGATTTTCCTGATATTGGTCTTTTATTTCCCAGAAAGAATCTCCCGAATAAAACGATATAGCGACGTACAATTTTGTACATATCCTATTTTGGATAATTGCAATAAACCTGTGCTCAAAACGCCCAACGGATTAAATGCATACGATATAAAAGTCATAATTAATTACATTCCATCTGCAATCTACAATACCTCAAACTAGACTATGATTTAAATGTTCCCATTAATATACACCGATAAATACTTGTAAAATGCCGTAATACAAACACTAAGCTTCTTTAAAGAGACTACCGAATTTTTGTTTAAAATAAAGCGCTTTGAACATGAACAAACATTTTATTGCCTATAACCAGTGTAACCCTACGTATTTTATTATCACAAAAAGAAGTAGTGGGGCGAACGATTTAAACACATTGAGAAATTGACTATAATTAATTATGCTTTTATGATGTAGCCAACACAGACTCACGTTTGATTCGATTAGGTTTGTTATATTCAAATATTTGGAAACGGGGTTGGAAAGGGCTTCTATGAATGTACCAGTCGTTCTCATAAAGTTGTTCTCATCATTCTCGAAAACGTACAAATCATCATATATATAAGTAATAATTCCGACAGACAATACATTCGTCGAACTGGTTAGTATAAATCAGTCAGGTATTTACTCGCCGATGGCCATTCTTAGTGAGTACCTTACAAAAAGAGCTCCCATTTCTTTCCACTTTAGTTAAACCCAAATTTGATTCGATTTTGTTGCTGTGGTCACGATTTAATTGACATTGAGTACTACATCCGGATGTCCTCCAGCCTTATAAAACGTTGTTATATCATGCAGCACACTGTCACACCATTGCTATGGAATTAAGTGTGAAACTTTTGACGCCCATTTTTACACACTCTTCGGACTGAAGCAGCAATCTCGCCCTCTCCGGAGGTGCCACTGGGAAACACGTCAGATGGCCTGATCGGCATGTTTTTCTCTGCAACAACAATTGAAGTCCTTTCAGTTCTAATGATGAGCACACCGCAACTAATTGTATGTGTAAATCGGTAAAGTGTCTGTGATGTTGTAGCTCCGAGAGTATTGACTTTGTCGGTACTCTTTTCATGTGTTGGAACGGGCACGCGCATTACCGTTTAACACCGTTCAACTATCACGCAAAAACCACCAAAACAGGATCACATTCTATTGTCAGATGGGGAGATGTTGGTTCTTTTTCTTGCCTGATCATCGTTGGTGGCTTGGGCAGAGGCGGCGTTAGGGCTCTTTGGTCGACTTTTTGTATGATAGGTGGCTATTGATACAACTATTGAGGTCGATTGTATCCATCCCGTAGGAATCACATGTGGTAGGCAGTGCATATGTATGTTTGTTATTGTTGTAATCCTTCGAGACGAGATAGAATTCTTGGTGGTAAATAGTGGCATATTTTAAACGACGACTCCTGATTTTAGGAGAATGTGCTTTTTTATAAATATAAATTCAGATTGTATGTACAATTTAAATATATGATGTGATTTCTTAGCAAGTAGCTCGTTTGCTAAAAATCTGAAAAAATCTCGTTTGCTAGAGCAAACTGAAGATGTTTGACAGTAGAACACGAAACGTGTGTGAGCTACTTGAAGCAGTGTTGTCAAAAATACAGTACCTCAAAATGTATCCCTTATGCGTATTCTAGCACTAGTTTGATTATGTTACTTATTTGCAATGTGCATTTACACTGGTGGCCAATATTAAACCAACTAAAATATTTATTTTCCAATTTCAAGTAAAAAAACTGTGCATTTAATGATTCTTTTTTTTAAAATATGGTGACTTTCTGTACCTCAAGAATTACGTTTATTAAAAAAATTCAAAATTTTAAAAAAAGTGTCAATAAAACAGTTGCTTTTGTACTTGAAATTGGAAAACAGTCAAAAAGACTGCCTTCGGCGTTCTAGTGTTAAACCAACTAAAATATTTATTCACTTCTAAAAAACAAAAGCTTAAATCTAAAATTAAATTTGAAATAAATAAAAAGGTACGAAAAACGAAATAGGCTCAATTTTAGCTGGGGGAAAACTGAAGCAAAAAAATAAAAAATAAAAAGTTTGTTGAGTTTTTTATGCTTGGAATTTCAAAGCAGCTGAGTTGGCCACTAGTTTATTTTTGAGCTGCCAAAAGTATTATCGGGCGGTGCTGACGATGTGTTACCCAAAACGACAATTGTTGTTCTGAACTTTCTTATAGTACGTTTACATTTAACCGGATTTCGTTAACCCAGTGGGTTTCAATTGTCATTTCCTTTGCATATACAGTATAAACTTGATAATCCGGACCTCGACAATCCGGATTATTCGGTAATCCGGACTGCATTTCACAACCCATTGCGTATCCTATAATCCGGATTGATTGACCTATTTGACTAAATCCGGATTGTAAAGATACGTTACTTTTTATTTTAATAAAAAAATCGTTGCAAATTTAATTGAAAATGGTACCTATTATATTCAAAGTTCATATTTTCGAAATGAATAATTTTCATTTTTAATAAAAACATACAAATACTTAAATTATCACCAAATTAATATAAATTTAAACCAATTAATAAAACTCGATAATCCGGAAATCTCGGTAATCCGGATTGGGGTCTGCAATCAATTATCCGGATTAGCGAGTTTTTACTGGGTTATTAAAAGATATTTATTTAGACAAGAGAAGCCCGTGTAAAACGATATTGTAATAAATGTAGTAATTTATTTTTAAAATGTCGCCAGATAGAGTTTTTTAGTAAAACATATACATATTTATTGGTAACACAATTTTACAAATATGTGTTTTAATCTATTTTTAAAATTAAACTATTAGGAATTTGTTAAAATATTCAAGTGGATTTAATTTGTTCTTTGTTATTTAGTTTGTTGATCAATTGAGATTTTAACAGTCATCAAAATTGTGTTCTCGGCAGCAAGGAATTTAAATCCATATTACGCAATAATTATATTTTATCATCTTATGTTAAAGTATGGCGCTGGATGAATACAAATTGTATTGTAAATTTAGACAATACATTATAGTAAAGAACGGCTCAACAAATCAAAAATTGTGATATTCAATGAGGCACATTTAATTTCCATATTCACTAATGGAAAAAACTATTTGTCCAAAACGTAGTGGGGTTGGACAGGATTCTGTTTATCACGAATCATTCTGACCATTATAAAAAACACATTTCTTTGTGGCCCCTCCGCAGTTTTCTTAAATGCCCTCGGATTTTCTAGAAATTACTCCTTGAATTCACAAATTGGCCCAGTGGAATATAGTGACGATAAGTTGGCAAGAGACGATAAAATAAATAACACATATACATGCGTAGATGGGGCAAATTGAATTAAAGCAATTGTCGGTAAGGTCACAACTTCAAAACGAAATGTTAAACAACTGTGAAAAATCAATGAAAGAGCCATTTTCGCCAACAAGATACCACCAACCAACTACAGAATACGTCTTGCACACCATAGCGGAATCCATGCACATGGACTGACGCTCCATATGGGATACTGGCTGCACAATGCAGCAACAACGCTGTGCAAATAAGGGGATGATACATTCTGCCGTGACGAATCACCCAAGCCACAAGCGAGAGAGAGACGGAGAAGCACAAAGGCAGCCATTGTTTTCAGCTGACGACTTCTCTTTCACCCCTGGTGTAGCTGATGTGAGAGAGCTCTGTGGGTGTTCCGGGCACCGATCATTGCCTCGAACGCTTGCCATCCCTTTTCCACTTGGGTATGGTCGAACGAGAGAGCCGAGTTTAATTGTGCGTTGTTTGTTGTACTGGCCCTGTTGTTGTTGTTTCAATGACGTTGGCTGCCTGGCTTGACTTTTGTTGTGGACCGGTCATTGTTTGTGAGAGTTAGGAGAGAATCTCAGAGTTTGGTTTTATTGCCAGCAGTGACCGTTTCAAAATCAGTTTCAACCAGACATTCGAACAAGTCACAGCTAACAGAAAATACGCAATCCCAAGAAACGAAAAGAAAAATATTTTTTATAACGAACACATAACATATTACTAATTTATTGAAAATATATTCGAGAATCTTGATAAATAAAGAGAAAAAACATAACAACAAGTGTCAAAGTTTACAAACACCACAGTGGATTTACCTGCATTGACGAGTTCCGTAAAGGCAATCAACAACCATTCTCACCACTAAATGGCAGTTTCAGCTTTAACCATGACTCCATATTTCGCTGGATACCCCTTTCAAGGTAAATATGACACCCAATAACATCTGCTAAAAACGACGTTGGGCCAAAAGACGTTCACATTTCATGAGATGCTATTTCTTGATTGCGCACAACCAACACACACACACATAATAGTGGCATTTAAAAGGTGTGGGTGGAGATGAGGATGAAATAAACCACAACCGTCATCATCGTCTAGAGAACAGTTACGGTGAAAATAACCATCATCCAAACAAAAAATTAAGCTGACCATGATCAATAAGTCTTTTCTGCACAAGCTACAACTTCTGCTGGCAACCGCCATACGGCCGCGTCAGCACATGAATCGATCTCGTCGCGAGGCCGTTTTTATTTTCTTATTTCTTCACATCTTCGCACCAACAATAACACACTCACGTTCTTCGCTGTGCTGGCTTGGTTGTGCCAGACGTTATGGCGCGATCGGCACAAGCTTTGATCTTCAACTGAGGATCACTAAACTTTCTTTGTTTGTTGTTCTCTTTTGGGCAAATGCGTTTCGTTTCTTTCATGATTAACTGGCACAGCTGGAGAGATTTTCTTCATCCACGAAGGTTGCTCGCCGAAGACACCTCTTGCAATTGAAATTAAAAATATCGATTTTTTGTGTTTCTTCCGAACGTAATACGCCGAAATCCTCTTGTTCCCTCAAATAATGAAGAACACAGATTGCCGAGTTGCATAAATTTGCATGGTCGGCTTAGCCAACCAACCCAGTTGAGCCGAATTGGCTTGTCGGACAAATGTTAATTGTTCTTAAACGCTTTGAAAATGGGCGAGATCATGTTATTGTGGCCAGAAACGAGTGCGCGTGTGCGTGTGTGTCCCGGAGTCGAGCTAATCTTCAATGGGCCATTGTCCTTTGTTTGGACAATTGATTTGCCTTTTGTGTGTGGTTGTGCGATTAGAAAAATAGAGCAATCATGTTTTGTGTTGCTGGCTAATCCGTCTTAAGTAAATCTCTATCCAATTTGCAACCCAAAGGAAAATGTTTATTAATTTATATCTTATTGTAATCATTGTAGGACAAGGTCGTGTCAATCAATTGGGCGGCGTCTTCATTAACGGCCGTCCCCTGCCAAACCACATTCGTAGGCAGATCGTTGAAATGGCAGCGGCTGGAGTGCGTCCCTGTGTTATTTCACGCCAACTGCGTGTATCGCACGGCTGCGTTTCAAAGATCCTAAACCGCTACCAGGAGACAGGGTCCATTCGCCCCGGTGTAATTGGTGGCAGCAAACCCCGGGTGGCCACTCCTGATATTGAAGCAAAAATTGAGGAAATGAAACAAGAGAATCCTGGAATCTTCAGCTGGGAAATACGTGCAAAGCTAATCGAATCTGGTGTATGCGACAAGAATTCAGCGCCATCGGTTAGCTCCATTAGTCGTCTTTTACGCGGCGGTTCTGGCAGCGAGTCCGGACCAAATGGTCACTCGATTGATGGTATTTTGGGACCCCTGTCTGGCCACTCTGCTGATGACACCGATGATGATACGGAACCCGGCGTGGAATTAAAACGCAAACAACGCCGTTCTCGGACCACATTCAATAATGAACAGGTCGACGCATTGGAACGTGTGTTTGCTCGGACTCAGTATCCCGATGTTTACACCAGAGAAGAATTGGCCCAATCCACAGGACTCACCGAAGCTCGCGTCCAAGTATGGTTCTCCAACAGACGTGCACGTTTGCGCAAGCAACTGAACACTCAACAAGTCGGAAGTTTCCCCGCACCCAACTCCAACTTTGCTGCCTCTGCTGCCCCCCAATATCCTGCTGCCGCCCACCACATGACTTCAGCTTCGGCAATAAGTCATTCCCATAACATGGGCTTGTACACACAACCTCCAACTTGGCCTACCATTGCTTCTCATCAAACCAGTTCAAACCTTGAGCAAAACCACACCTATGCTCACTCTACTGGATCAGCAGCCTCCATGTCCCCTCACAGTTCGTCGGGCTACAGCTCAGCCTCTCTGTCGCCCAATCATCAATCCCAAAGCACTGCTACATCAAATACAGCCAACAGCAATTATATGAATCCCTCGGCAAGCTATGGCCAGTCGGCCATCGGTCAAACATCGACGGCCTATACATCATCGGCAGCATATCCTTCGGTACCAACAGCTGCATCCTTTGCCGCTACTTCTGCCGACCAGTTACGTTCCCAATTTGCTTCAGCGGCTGCTACAGCCACTCACCACCATCCCTCTTCGTGGGACTCCTACAACTTCTCGGGTACTTTCTTCAGCTCTGCCGCCAATCCAATGAATTCATACCACACATCGATGGCCGACACTAAACCTGTTTCTGCTGCCGCCACTTCCAGCTCCTATCCCTACTTTGGATTCTAATGGAACTTCTCGTTAACGACTCAATGCGACAAATTTACATAACGAAATCATTTATTTGGTGCTAACAGCGTCAGTCGCTTCAACACCGATAATTTATTCAGATTTGCCCTCATTGTCCCGCACCGCAGTATCAGCGCCTTATCATCTATAACCTGTTCTGTATGAACAGTTAAAAAAACATAACTTTGTAATTATTTTATATTTGGATTGTGTATGTGTGAGCATACACAACTACATGTGTCCTGTACATGTACTAATCTGTTTTTAATGTATTTTGAGACTGTTTTAGGTGACTAAGTTTTAGTTTGTAATTCTATAGAATAGTACAATCGTTTTTGTTTCATTTTTAAATTTATTATTAAAAGAAATTTTTACAACAATTATTTGAAGAGTACGATTTTTTTATTAATGTTTGTTGCAATGAAAACGTTGAGTGAATTTTATTGGAGTAACAGGTTCGACTCATCATAAAGCTCCTGAATTATTAGAAATGCGGAATTTTCAAAAATTGTTTAAATATTTTGAAAGTATTCACATGTATGAAACAACTTCATATATACAGTCGGCTCCGCTTTACTGCAACGGAAAAATGGATGTGTGTTAATATTATTTTAAATATTCAATTAAAAAATATTAGAAGAAATCGATCCACCAAAAACGTTTTGATATTGAATAGTCGTGATCCAAAGTACCAAATATCTTGAATTTAGTTGAATTAATAATTGATCCAGATTTATATATAGTTCTCACACCTACAATGTCCGTTCCAGAATCTACATTTTTTCAGATTTTATGTAAATGGTACGTGTATGTACATTTTTTGGTATATAGGTTCAGGAAAATAGACTTATTCGAAGTGTTTTCGCATTCGCATTTTTTAGGGAATACAGCTTTGCCTAAATCTGCTAAAATTCGGAACAAATTCTACTATAAACTCGTCTAGATGATTGGAAATGATCTGTAGATTCCTCTGATGCGAGTTTCGACTTACAAAATTAAAAACTTAAAAGATCAAAAACTTGTTGGTTTCAACAAATTTTCACTCATTTTTTTACTTTACCACCAACTATTTTTTATCGCTATTATATCGATTTTTACTAGGACACTTCATTTTTAGTAATGCATTTATGGAATATTTTAATATTTCGCGAGTTATGAGTTTTTGAATCTCAGCTTCAAGGAATTTAAAACTTTTTTGAATATTCCCATATAAAGTTGGGTAGCTGCTGACTATTACGCGTCGTCGTGATTGTCTCCGATTTTCTAGGGTGGGACAACCTAAATTAGATTCTTATAAATTGTAATTATAAATGCTATACCTTTGATTTGTTGGGTATATTACCATTTAAACGTGAATATATATATATATATCTTTAATGTAATTAACTTGGGTACCTACATCGATCCTGGATCCCTGTAGGCCAATACAAAAAAAAAAAGCATGACGAAACCATGTTTGAATAAATTACAGCGCTAAATGTGTACAAATGTACTGTGGCGATTGGTCCACGTAGGTTATAAACATTTTTGAGAAACAACACCTCAAGACAGGTTCCTATATTTGCATCAAACTTTGCAAATATCTCCATTATTAAAATTTCTACAGCATTTTAATCGATTAAAATCGATTATGATTTACATATACCACTCACATATATAATTTTGCCACCTTACATATATTGCATTTCATATAACCTAAGTCCCTAAGTCTATCCGATTGACATGAAATTTGCATTGAAGTCGGTTTCTATGTGGATATAGATCGCATATGGCTCATTTGCTGCAATACAGACAATTCGCAATATGAATCTTCATATTGTGTAAAAAACTCAGATTAATATCTCTTTCTCACTCTGATTGAGAAGCTGTGGAGGTTCCTCTGTGCCTTGTAAGGTGTACGTAAGTTGAAAACTTAAAACTCATGTTCTGCAAAATCTATTTTTTGGATTTATGCCGGTCTTGCAGCAAATGAGCGATATTTCATTATATTGTACGCATACCACATCATTAGTTTAGACGATAGTTTCTTAAGATTGGTTCAAATTGGCTTTGGTAGGGTGTCACATAGTCAACTCCGTCCGACTGTGGTCCTTTCCTTACTGATTTTTTGTAAGATTTTGTTATAGCCACGACAGTTTTTTGTTTTATCCTCTGAGCTAAATTACAGACACTTAAGTTGGAAAATTCGGCTAGGAACATCGACATTTCAAAAATGATCGTATATGGACAATTAGTTTTCGATTACGTTTTTAGCCATCAAGAAAACGAAATGCCAAATTGGACTCACTTCGGTTGGTGAAATGCGTTAGATGACATTTTTCTATATTCGTAAACAAGTAAAGACCTTTCCTGTGCGGATAAAAGAATGCTTGCGGTATTTATTTGCACTCCAGAATCCAAATGATTGCCATTAGATCCAATTAGTATCTAAAGAAAATGTACCTATTTGGCAATGGAATGACATTTACATTACATTGGCTTCCCTCGCTCTTCGGTAGCGGAATCGTAAATCACTGTCATGTCATAAGCGGGGCGGCGCAATAAGATTTCAACACATTTGTGCTAATGGTTCTATGATGGTGATAAAGTATCTGCTGAAACGAGGCCCACACAAGTATGTCATAGTGTTTAGTTTTCAGTTAACTTCTGGACAGCGCAAGATTTGGCTACTACATCGTGGCCCACACAAGTTGTTCCTGCTTTCAGTGGCCACAAAGACAGACATGACCGTATCAGTGTTCTATGTCTTTTGCTACTGTGTGTGACAATCGAGCAATTAATTGACAAGATCCAAGGAGCAAGGCATCAGTGCAAGGAAGACGTGTCCTTACACATAGACACACACACATACACAAAGAAGCCAATGTGTACTCGTATATTGAAAAGAAACAACGCACTCCTTTGTGACAGCGTTTAACGAGACAATAAAGTCGTATTCGACAATCAATTATAGATATTGTATCCGCTTGATAATAGGCCTGGGGTGGGTTGTTGTGTGTTAACACTCTTGTCGGCGAGAACCATAATGCAGCAGCCGGAGGATCGGATTGAAGCCGAGTTCTCTCATTTGCTCTCCCTGGTATATGGCTTGCCTGGATGTGTGAATGCATAGGAACTGTAGGTGGCAGTAATGACACCCGCTGGGCACACATAATTAAATTGCTCCGCTTTCTTGTTTGTGTAGAGCATATTCGATTCGACAGTGTGCCTGTTGGGCCCTGCACTTGCACGGAGGTGCGTATTCGAACACTTTGTTCAATCTTGTGAGTTCCTCCCTCCCTCTCTGATGGCCCTTTGAAATATTCTGTTTGTCAATGGAGTGACACTTTTGCAATGACATTTCAAGTCTTCACAGACAACCTACCACGCATTGATTGAGTGTCGGCGTTGGGTCTTTGATGCGGTGTGTTGGTGGTCCTCCACGATCACTTCTCTCTGCCCTGCTAGAATCCCACAATACGACTGCATTAGGGGAAATTATTTTCGTATTATTGAGTGGTGTTAGAGTGTGATATTGCTATACGAGTCCATTGTCTTATTGGTTCATTATTCCCAATCTAAGGCGTAGGGAGACAAAACGTGTCAATCACAATGGCCAATTGTAAGTAATTGTCTTTAATGGTGTCATTGATGACTTATTAATACAAATCATGACCGTTTTATGGCTGACTAAATGAGTAGGAGACCACACATGTAGACACCGCATCATTATTGGGTTTCAACCTGTTGCAATGTGGTGGAATATGAGGTTTTGTCACTGTTTCTGTCGGACATCTCTATATGTGAAGAAATAGTATTAAATCGCCATTTTATGAAAATCATCGGTTTGTAGCATTGTTCGGGACAACAAATATATTCATGGTATATATATATATATATATATATATGAAATATAATGTTTTTCCCAGTGTCTTCTAGATACCCCTCTAAAAGACCTCAATTATAATACAACGGTCCATACATGTTTGATCTTTTTCATAGATATTTTGGATTGCTGCACAAAATATAACGATATATATTTCGATGAAATTCTTACAACACTTTATTATATTTTGGAGTATTATTTCGGAGCAATAATATATAGGGGAGAGGGGGCACCTTTGAACACGTTTTTCTTTCAAGTATCAAACAATGATTGTTGGACACTATCACAACTGAAAAAGCTGGCCAACATGGCTTTCACAGATAAAGAACAAGATTGACATATGAAAAAATTGGTTGCGGGTCGGAACAATTTTAAACCGTGATTATAATAGCGTTGTTCAAAAGCGACCCACTTTGCACTGGCTGGACTATCTAATGATACATGAAGGGATACTGTACCGAATCTTAATACAATCAAGAATATCTGAAATAAAAATATGACCACTGTTAGCCAAGGATTTTGGGTTAGTCTGTATATCTTTGTCGTTTTCAAGGGATTGTCCGATTTCCGAAGGGATTGTCCGATTTCCAAAGGGATTGTCCGATTTCCAAAGGGATTGTCCACTGTTTCATTGGAACACTTTTATGGTGGCAAATTAGATTTTTATAAAGTAAACAAGAAAATAAATATCAAACATCGTCAACTTTTCTGTTCGGAAGGGACAAAAATCCGTTTGTAGATAATGTAAAATATATAAATTGCCGCATTTGCTGGGGTGATCACATAAAAAGTTTCGGCTGTTTGACTTTCTTAGGACTTGTGCCGTTGACTTATAACAACAAGGGATTTGGACTTGTGTGCGATGTGGGGTAATTATTAATTTTAGCCAGCGTTATAATATGTTACGAATGGAATAAAAAATGGAAAATTCTTCTTGAAATTACAGTCGAAGTCACAACAACAAGAATCGCTAAGTACGAAATGAAATTAATAAAATCATAAACGCAGCGTTGCAGCGGCGGAAGATCAAAGGCTTGGAAATAAAATGTGGTGCAAATGCTGCCAAATGGACAATTACAGAAAAAATACTCAAAATGTAGCTACAAAATCCAGACGAATGCAACAAATACACTTT